GGAGGTGGAGGTGGTGACGTCACGACCCGTTCTCTGATTCCCAAACCGAAATCGCCCCTACTGGTTTGAAATGACCGGTTCAATGTCTACAGAACCCCGAAGTTCCCAGTGGAAGGAAGGCCTAGGGAATCCGTTCAGCCAGCCAACTTCTCCTTTCTGCCTCTACCCTCTATTGTAGGCGTTCGGGCCAGCAGGTGGGCTTTAGTTCTGAGTAGACATGAGTTAGGACCGTGCAGTAAAATGTTAATGTGCGCAGCTTTTACCTGCAGACACAATAGCAATCTGTTAAGGGGGACGGTGGGAAGGCAGATCAGGGAGCCTAGGGTGTTAATCACTCCTCCCCCCCCCCCCTTGGGTTAATATTTGCTATACAACCGCACGCCTTGATCCTAGACATATTTACTCAGAAGTAAATGCCATTCACTTCTGCTCGGCTGGATTAAACTATACAGATTCATAGAGTGGAGAAATTGGACACGGGCAACTCCCCACTCCACCCACCCCCGGTTTTCTCTGATGACCTTAGGGGCACCCCCAAGAAAACTGGGGCCAGGGTTCTCGAGGGGAAATCAACACAGTGACCCAAAGAAGCGATGATGGCCACTAGTTTAAATGGCTGCCAAGTAGAATAGGTAAATTCATGATGGTGGAAGGGGAGCATCTGTGCTCAGGGCCAGATAGGAGTCCAGCAATGCCAAGATTTCCCGGGGCACACGCTTCCCGAAGTCAAAGTCCCCTTCCTCAGACGACGAAAGGAGCTTTGATTCTGGGAAGCTTGCACCCCGGAAGCCTTGTTGGTCTCCAAGGAGCTGCTCGACTCGAATCCAGCTGTTCCAGGCAGACCGGCATCGTGGCTCCTCCGCTCTGAGACTCTCTTCTGGGCTCGGAGTCGGGGCGCTTGTTCTGAGGGACGCCAGCGTCGGAAGGTCTGGTCTCCAGGCCCGGCTTGTAGGCCTTTTGGGGACAGCCGGCTGGCCGGCCACTCTGGCAAACAGCTCGGTGGACCGGAGGAAACACGGCTCAGGTTTTAGCAACTTCAGTGGTTTGGATTTGTTGGTAGTATTTTCGAAGGAGCCCAGCCCATGTTTTCTTCCTGCCTGTGTATGTACCAAAAACAGTCTGTTCCTTGTGGGAGATTTGATCGAAACCCCCATCGCCTCATGTTTTAAGTAGCGTTTTAAAAATGTGGATTAGGAAAGAGGGAAGGAAGTGTAGTTAAGGGCGTAGTAATGGAAAGGTTAGGTGCGGGCCGAATTTGCAGCCGCAAATGAGCAAAACGGAGGGGGCATTTGGACCGGTGGGCATGCTGGTGATTCTTTGGTTTACACGGTGTCCATTCGCCTGGGCGGGGTCAGCGACCCGGGTGGGTGGGAAGATGGACCAGGTTGGATCCCTTTTCAGCTCTTAGAGGCCGGAAGTGGCGTCACGGAAGGAGGGTGGACGTTGCTGGCCCACTCCCATCTTCTTTCCAGACAGCATCTGGTGATCATTCTAGGGGAGGGCACTGGCTCAGTGGTGGACATCGGCCTGGCATGCCGAAAGTCCCGGGCCGACAGCCTCCAGCCCTTCCAGCTAAAAAGGGACCAGGGAGTAGGTAATGCGCAAGACCTCTATTTGGCCACTTCCGCATTGTCATCTTTTGTCACTCTCTTGTCCCTATTGTTCCCCACCCACCACCACCACCCTTTCCCCCACATGTTTTGCTCCCTTTGGCGAGAACGCGGGAAACACAGTGGGGGGGGGGGAGCCATAGGGATAAACGAGTGACAAAAATGACAGCGCGGAAGTGGCCTTCGAAGCCCCAGAGAATCGCCGAAGGGGCCATCTCTACCCTCGGTCTGGCCCACTGTGCCCCACGCTAGCCCCGCTCCCAGAATCCCGAATCGGTCCGATTGCTGCTGGTTTGTTGAAGGAGCTCCTAAGGTGAGCCGGCTGGGGGGGACTGCAGCGATCCGGTGCCGGCTAGGCGAGCCCTGGCCTACACCTCGGGCGGGGAGTCCCCTACGCAAAGCCCAGAGGTGCCTCCCAGGGAGTGTCCGCCGCGGCCTTTTGGCTCGAGGCACTTCTACTCCGGAGGAGAGGTGCTCAAGGATCGTGCCCTTGATGCTGCCGGCGACCGGGGCTTCTTGCCCTTCCCGGCCACTGACAGGGCTCCTGTCCCTCCCGCCTCTCCCCTCCCCTTCCTTTACAGCAGAACCTATCTCCGCCAGGCAGCCGGCTCTCAGGCCGCACGTCCATAAGCAGCCGGAGAAGACCACCCGCGTCCGGACCGTCCTCAACGAGAAGCAGCTGCACACCTTGCGGACCTGCTACGCCGCCAACCCCCGGCCCGACGCCCTCATGAAGGAGCAGCTGGTGGAGATGACCGGCCTCAGCCCCAGGGTCATCCGCGTCTGGTTCCAGAACAAGCGCTGCAAGGACAAGAAGCGGAGCATCATGATGAAGCAGCTGCAGCAGCAGCAGCCCAACGACAAGACCGTGAGTGGCGCTTTCCCGTGCCTCCTCCTGGCCCCTAGGGGGCGCTCCGCCGAGCGGGCGCCTTTCCCTGCCTTCCTTTGCGCATGCCCTGACGTTAGGTTGGTGTTTTTTTTCCCGTTGGTCTGTCTGTTTTTGCCCGAAGGCTTCAGCCTTTGCCTCTGAGGCCTCAGCCGCCTGCTCACCTTTCGAGTGGGCGTTGGACGGATTTGCCGGCGAGGGTGCCAGGAGATGGCGAGGGGAGCGCCGGTCAAGGGCGCTTTCGGCTCAGACAGAGGGGAGGTTGCCACCCAGGAAGGCGCTCCCGTGCCGTTCGCCGCTGTCAGGCAGGACCGGGACGCGCCAGCCGGCAACCCTTCACCTGCGGGGTCTTGGCTCCTGGCAGCTGTGAAAAGCGCGCGGCAGCAACCCTGGCCAGGGAGGCAGGGAGGGAGGGAGGCAGGGAAGAAATCCTGCCAGGGAGGGAGGGAGGGAGGGCTGTTTCTGGGTTTTGCAGGGCTTGGAGGGGACTAAGAAAAGTTCACCGCTACGGACTGCTAATGCTTCTTGGTAAAGAAACGGGACTTATCCGGCGACAGTAATGCCCAAGTTCATTGGCATATTGAGACGCCTGTCCTCCAGCCATTTCTCTCGAGAGCAGGGCCTTCGAGGAGTAGGGGGCTCTTCCAGAATCTCTGGTTTGGTGCATTCCATCTCATACATTCTCAGGCTCTTCCTGTAAGATATGTGGCTGCCGCTGTAGGAGGAAAGAGGCGGATAAAGGGGGGGGAGGACAGATGGTGCGCATAAGGGGAGGGGGGCTTTTAAAAACGTCTCTCTCCTGAAGCCCCACTCCAGTAAAGCTGGAGTCGTTTAAGAAGCATAGCCAAAGCCAGTGAGTTTAGAAGTGGTCCCCGAAATCCATGACGCTTCTCCCATCTCGCATACCAGTTCCACCTAATAGTAGGACGCTGGATCCCGGATACTAACGCTGGCCCGTTCTTACACACCCAGGGAAACGTTGGTTGCCACTTTGGGGTCAGGAAGCAATTGTTCTCCAGGCCAGTTAGGCCGGGGTTCCTGGAGGGGTTCCCCCCCCCCTTGTGGCCCTCTTCTGGGCATAGAGGGTCACTCATGGGGGGATTTGTGAATTTCCTGCATTGTGCAGGGGGTTGGACTAGATTATCCTGGAGGTCCCTTCCCACTCTATGATTCTAATAGGGTGTACACTTTTTAAAAAGAGTAGCGATTGTCCTGGATTCACACTTGAAAGGGAATCCACAGCAGAGTTCGGTTGGAACTTCGTGCCCTGTGTCTAATGCCTTGGGCTTAGCAGTCCGGACAAATGCCCCTGCATTTGCTTTTTAAACTCAGAAGTAAGCCCCTTGAATGTTGTGGAATTTACGCGCAAGTAAATGTGCACAAGAGCGCAGCCTTAATTTCCACTGCCTGTTTTGACCCGGACTTGGACAGCAGAGGGTGGTTCGGCAAAAAGTCCAGTTGATGTCAACGAGGCGCCAAGGAGCCCGGCTTTAAGTCAATCGGCGCCGGCGGGATAAACCCCACCGGTTTATCAGTCCCAACGGAATTTACCCTCTAAAAAGCTGCAGCCCCTTCGGAGTTAGCTGAAAGCCCTTTACTCCGGAGTGGATCCCAAAGGGAGAGCGTCCGCACTGACATTTTTGTCACTCGTTTGTCCCTATTGCTTTGGGTCGCCCCCTCTCCTTTTCACGTGTGTTTTGCTCCCTCTGCAAGACACTTGGGGGTGGGACCCTCCTGAAGCAAAGGAGTGACAAAAATGCCAGTGCGGAATTGTGCCTGGGACGGCGCCCAGCCCTGGGAATCCGGCGACCTACTGGTCTCTGAATTAAACCACGGAGGAACGTTGTCAGGTATGTCTGTCTGTCAAGGAGCTGCTGGCGTTTGGGGGTCCGAAATCGCCGCCCACCTCTTTCCTCTGCCGTCGCGTAGGAAGCAGTTTGCAGGGCTTAGTACATAAATCTGAGGCGGGCAGGAAACGCCTTCGGGCTGCCTACCTGGTTAAGTAGAATTTAAAATGTTTGGCTTTGCCACGGTGGAGTCTTCCTACACCTCCGTTTCAAGTAAGTAAATTGCCTAAGTGTGGGAGCTGTTTAGGGCACCAACACCCCCTTCCAAACACCCGAACAGGTTTGTGTTTTAAAAGCGTATTTTAAAGTGTCTTTGGGCTGGCCGGAACTACAGTCCACCGCCCACCGAGCGTTACATACGTGGGCTGACAGTGAAGTCCGATCCCAAATGCATTTTCTTGAAAGTGGATTCCACTGAAACTATTGGTGTTACTTCCGTGTCCAGGAAATGTCAGTGATTTGAATACAGCCGAGCCTCGCATCCTTATGTGCACAATCTACTCTGGTGGAAGTCCCGGGTCCAAACCCAGTTTTGTCTTCTCAAAGTCGACAGAACTAAACCGGTCGACCCACCCCCCGCGCTTTGGTTTCATAGGTTCCCCTCCCCGGGGGAGGGGGGGCGTGACGGTCGGGATGTTATGCGGGACTTTGAAGGAGGGAGTCGGCGGCCACTCCAGGGCGTGTTTCCTCGGAAGTAAATCCCTCTGTGTAAATGGCGCTTGTGCCCAAATAAGGTCCGGTTGAGAACAGCCCCACTGGGCTGAGGAGGATTCGGAAAGCTGGATCCAGTTTAGCTTGAAAATCCTGTTGGTTGCCTGCTTAAGACTAAAGAACCCCGGTCCTAAACACGCGCTCACTCGGCTTTTGCAACCAGTGAAGCTTCGATCCGAGAAAAGACGAGCAGGATGGGGAAGCGTTTGTCACCTCTCCACCGAAGGAAATCAACCTGTAACGCCCAGGCTGCTTACTGCAAGAGAAGACCCATTGTTCTGCCTGTAGTTCGAGACGGCCTTTTCGGATCGTTTGCTTTTACGACCTGACTCCAAGATAAATTCCGTTGTCAAGGCCCTCCAGGAGTCAGGGTCATAAACATTTTTTTTATTTTAAATTCTAAACCCGTTTTAATGGAAGTAATTTAATCCCATCCCTGGGCGTGATCCGGATCGGTGTCCTACTTCCACAAGAGTAGGACCACTCCACCCTCACAAGTCCCACTGAAACCAGTGGGTCTTCCCAGCACTGCCAGCGGCAGTTACGCACCCATCGGACAGAGTCCTTCTCCGAACCAAGTTCGCCCCCCCCCCCCAAGAGGTTTTGTGTCCTGCTTTTGCCAATCGAGGGCAGGGGATTGCAACCTTAATGCTCCCCCCCCCCCTCAGTTATCCGCCAGCGGACCGCCAGCCTCACGTGCGGGCTGGGTCTGCGACGTGCCCCTCGGACCGCGTCCTTGTGTCCCATTGGGTCGACAGTGTCTGGGATGGGGCTCCCGGCCGGGGTTTTTCGGCGTGTCTTTCGAGCTTCGGTCCTTTCAGCCAAGGGAGATTTGGGACGACGGGGGGGGGGTGGAGATTAGCAGAGTCAATAGAGGCGGCCCGTTTGATAAGGGCGACGGGGCGAAGGCGTCTGTTGACTCTCGGCGCGGCCCGGCGCTCGCGGTCTCCGCCGCCCGGCCCGGCACTCACGCCTTGCGCCGCCTCCTTTGCAGAACATCCAGGGGATGACCGGCACTCCGATGGTGGCGGCGAGTCCCGAAAGGCACGACGGGGGCTTGCAGGCGAACCCGGTGGAGGTGCAGAGTTACCAGCCCCCCTGGAAAGTCCTCAGCGACTTCGCCTTGCAGAGTGACATCGATCAACCGGCTTTTCAGCAACTCGTAAGTGTCAGTTCCCCTCCCCCCCGCAGTCGTGTGAATGGCCCCAGTGTGCGGTGGCGGG